CCCCCCCCCGGCGACGCGAGGGGCAACGTCGGGGGAGAACGGCACTGGGATAACCTTCCCCGGAAGGCGCCGGCGATCGGCCGATCGATCGGCGCGATGGCTCGTTTCGTTGAGGGATCACGAGGGAGGAAACGCTCTTGAAGAAAGCGAGACGAAGGTGACAAGGGGGGAGGGGGAGTTGGTGAGGTTTCGTTCTCACGTATTTTGTAGGTCGATCTGTCGACCGCTCGATGATCGCGATCGCTCTTTCAGCCAGGAGACGGAAGAGACGGGGGCGCACGTGGAAGCGGGAGCTTCTCACACCCTGGGCGATCCCACGCTCGCGATTGACCCCGTAATTAATTTCGGCCGTCGAAGAGAGGTGGAGGAGGGTTCCAGGAGCTAATTTCGATCGGAGTGGCGAGGATAAATTCGTGACCGGGCTGACGCTCGCCCCGTCGAGGCGACGCTTGCCTCGGACAATCGTATTATCCGGCGATTGCAACGGTAGTACGTCTCGCCGTTCGAGGAACGCTGTAGGAACGTCGGAGTGCAATCCGAGAACTCGTGCCAGGACGTTGCACGGAACGTCGTCTTGTAATTGGTTCGAATAATAATCCTGAGACCGCAGTTGCTTGCCTCGGGGGAGGAACGTCGGGACGACCTGATCATTCATGCCAGGACGTAGTTTCACGCTTGCCTCGGGAGAAGAAACATAAGTATGTTCCAGAAAACGATCTGAGAATCCGTGCCAGGACATTGCTTCACATTTGCCTCGAATAAACATATTTCTCAGGGACCACTGCCTGCCTCGAGAAGAAGCCGGTCCAAGCGGCGCAAGTGCATCGGCATCTAGGATACGGAAACGATTCTAGAGTTGAAGCCAGGACGCGCAAAGCGCTGTTGTACTCGATGTTCGAATAATCGTATTCCACGTGATCGCTCGCTTCGAACTATAGTCGAAACACGAGTACGTACAGGCAACGCGATTGCAATGACAGGAAGCTGCTCCAGAATCTTATCGCAAAAGCCTTGCCATGTCCGTCTTAAATAATTGAATCTTGCGGCCCCAGTAGTTTACTTTTGACCCATGTCGCAAGAAGAGGGGAACGTCGAGTTGCGAGGAGGTGAATCAGGATCAGAAGCTCCCGACTGGGATCACTCTGCGGATACGGATCAACCCGCGATGAGACGTTACACCGCACCTGCATTCGTCTAACAATATTTCCTAGTCGCATAAAAGCACGAAGTTGCTCGTCGTAATTGTTCAACGCGCGCCACGCGTGTACGATTGATTCCCTTCGATTACTCGCATCGTCACACATTGAAAGAACCGCGACGATGGATCTTCGCGATGACGAAACGCCCCACGGCGATCCAGTTTACGGAGGAGAAATCGGAGCGAGATCTGCAGCGGCGGGAGCGTCACGCGCTGCCGATACAGGTCCATCGTGATACGCTAATTTTCTCGAGATCCCCATCGGAGATCATTGGAGCGTTAGGAGAAATGGGCGAACGGCTCCGGATAGCGAGGAACGTTTCGGGCGGCTCCTGCCAAACGTCGTGACCATGACTCATCGCACACGAAAAATCACGCTCTCTCTTGACGCGTGGGACCCGCGCGGGCGGGCGCGGGGCTTGCGCAATCCTTGTATTTTTATCCGTCGCGCCGCGAGCGACTTGTACTCGCCGAGCGGATGCCAAGCATGGGAAACCGGGACTCTCGCCGGCGCAGCGTTATCTCTCCATCTCGAGAAACTCGTGCGATCAGCACTCGGCGAGGATGAAATTACGGCGAGCACGAGAGGGACGCCGCTAGTACGGACGCGCGAATCGAGTCGCGTCCCCTCGATACGTGGGACGCCGCTCCAAATCGATTCACAGTCCATTGACGATGCATTAGTATAATATTTACTGGCAATCCGAAAATGCAGGTACTCTAGTGGGCGAGCTTTAATAATGTTACGGTGAGATTTCATCGTTTTGTGAGCAATCCCGGGGCCGGGACGTACGATAATTATGTGTTGCTTATTTGTATCCATCAACGTGGCGATTGCTGTACGGGCGCCTCGAAAGTTGTCTGAAATGTAACGTTGTGGGGCAGCGAGATCGAATGGAAGGCCTCGCCACGAGAAGAATCGTTGACTCGCTCATAAGAAATCAGCTCGTAAGAAAGTCTCGTAGATGTAACGAAAGGAAGAGGACGGAGTAGAGGGACAGTTCGCACGACGAGTGTAACGTAAAAATTCCTGAGAAGCACGGCGTCGCATTAGTGGAGAAACCCAGCCGGCGTCCTTTCTTTCATTGCACACCATTTCGAAGTGGTCCATAGAGCAGCGAGTAACAAACGAGAATAGAAATTAACGGCCATTGAGAGTCAAAAATGCAATGCGAGAAATTGCATTGCGTATATTAAACTTTTTTTTTTAATACGTTCCGAAAGCAAATTACAAAGAAATTTGGTTTGTCTGGTTTTAATTTTGTGTAGCTATAATTATTGTTTAAATTGTTTCCTGAACTGTTCCTAAATTACTGGGCATTTTAATATAATTGGAAACATCGGCACATCTTGAATTCTTTTCTCACGGTGTCTATGAATATGGCATTCTTGTTAACTGGCGTTTATGTTTTTATACAAAGTTAAAAAATTAATAATTTCAGAAATGGATTATCTGATTGATTCAACGGTCCGAACTTTTCGACGTTTAATTCGGTTGTTATAACGATTGGCAAAAGAGATGCCATGCCGTAAGGATATACGCAAGGACTGCATTCTACGTAGTGTTTACAAGAATATCTTTGCAGGCAAAGGTCTTCGGTACTGCGATTCCGATGATATAATTCTTCTCAGCAATCTCCTCGGCCGGATACATGCCGAGACGAGTCCATATTCCAAACGATAAATATTTACTTGAGAACTCGCACTCCACGCTGGAGTCGCGTCTGTGCCAAGATCTAGCCTCGAGTGTCTCGACCTAAGAAAAAAAAGTTTCGCGCAGATTAAGCCCCACGACACGTTTCGCCGTGCCCGTACACTCATTAAATGATGCGCGTTTTCTTCCTTTTAAGATGAGATCATAAAGATGGAAAAAAAGAAAAAGGCCATCAACGGAAAGGCCGGCGGCGCCAAGCGCAGTCGCGGTGCTCTACGCGGCCGGGGTGGCTTTAGAGGAAGAGGTGCGAGAATCAAGCACAATGCCATCCTGAAGAAACATCAGCAGCAGCAGCAGCAGACCTGGCAGCGCGGCGGGAACACCGCGGGTAACGCGCGCGGCGGTTTTGCCCGGAATCGCTTCAAGAAGCCCGGCAATCTCGTAAGGTCGCGCAGCAATCTCAGCCTGAATCAGAAGGCGAGCGGCGCAAGGGGAGGCACATTCAACGTGCGCCGCGGCAGAGGCGGCAGAAGCGGCAGATTCGGCCTGACTCGTAGCCGTAGCCGCACGAACCTGACGTACAATCAGGGCGGCTTCTTCACGAGCAACAAGAGCCCGCTGAAGCGCACGAGCAGCTTGCCCAACCTGCGAGACCCGAATTCTGTCCACAATCGCCTGGGCTACCAGAGCCCCGCTCAGATCGCCTATCGAAATCGCGTGAAGCGAGCGAAGCAGCTGCTGCTGCAGAGGCAGAATCAGAGGCTGACCTTGCAGAATCAATTCAGAGTGAGTCAAATGTGCTGACGTGTACGCACGTGTGTTCCTCCGTGTAAGAGTAACGCAACGAGCGCTGACGACGTCAATTTTGTTGCAGATGGCACAGGCCGGCCAGAAGAGCGGCCTACTCTCGATGCAGCCGAGAACCTTGGGAAGGCAGCAGATACTGACGTCGCAACGGCGCTTCACCACCGGCGGACTGCGATCCGATCAGATCGCTCGTGCACAGAGGCGGGCGCAATACGAACAGAAATTGATACGAATGAAGTAGATGATACTTTGTTATATTTGCCGCGTCAAATTAATTGAAGCTAACAATGAATAAGTTTGGTCGACCTTAACTGGCACGTGTTTAATCAAATAAAAAATATACAGTGCGACGTTTCGACCAAGGGTTTAGGTCCTTATCAAGCACAAATTCTAACGAGAACAAACCAATAATCGGAGTTACAAGCTTATCATAGATACAGATAAAATTAAAAATAAAAATTCAAACTAAATTGATTTAGAATTTCTTTAGAATTTTTGCTTGATAAGGACCGAAACCCTTGGTCGAAACGTCGTACTGTATATTTAAAATGTTTAATTTATTAAACACGTGCCAGTTAAGGTCTACTAAACTTATCCATTGTTATTTATTACTGGCAACCTAAAGAGATTATCATGTTTGATTAAAGCTAGACTGGCTACTCTTTAGATTTTTTAAGAAATCTTTCCTAATCCCCACGTACAAGTTTAGCTTCTTTAGTATCTCAAATTTAGTACTTTTGTGAAGTAGCTAAAAACTGAAACTGATTTTTCCCCACGTGAGGAACGGAACGTTTAGAATGTAACGTGTTGCAGCTCCGCCCGACTGACTCCTACTCCGAACGTCAATTTCATGTGCACGCTGGGAAGCGAGTACATACCCACCGCTACGCGCCAGCGACCACTCACCCTCGCGCAAAGCCGACAACCCGCGACCATCGGCACCCTACGACAATTGCCCAGAGGACGATCGCCGTACAGGCAGAGCGCGCAGAGTTTAAATATGGTAGATACATTCTTTGCCTAAAACTTTTCTCGAAAGTACATTTGTCTCCCCCTTCTGGCTTTTATTTTGAAACCGATCTTTCCCTCGGATGACGACTGACGTCTTTATTGAAATTACAGATTGGCCGACCACCATTATTCGGACGACAGCGCTCGAGATCAAGATCACGATCGCGTTCGCGTACGCACAACACGACCGCGTCCGATTCCAGCGGAGACGTCGACGATCGTACTTTCAGCGAAGTCATGTACAGCCTGTCGGGGAACCTCGGCGTTACGGGGCGAACTCTTAACGATCGATTTAGCATTTAAGTAGCAGCGTCGCAAATTCGACGTAATATCGAACACACTCTACTGACGATCTGTTAATAATTTACCCGTAAAATCCCAGAAATAATAAGTTTATTTTAACAATGTAGACAAGTCCAGTTGTTTTCTCTTTGATTAAGTACGCGAGCGTTTATTAGTGCCAACTTATTACAATTGAGTTTATTAACACATTGTCCAAATACTTTGTTTCTCTCGTTTGCCCGAATTGCACTGAGATATTGCTTCACATTTGCATCGTTAATATATGTACAAACTATTTTTAGAGAATAGATAGCAAGATCATACACTTTCATTCGGAATATATGGTAGTACGTATGAATAGAACAAAGGGAGTGATTCTTATCTGTCGCATGATTGAAGGCAGAAATCACATTTTCTCATCTACGTGCAATAACTTTGTATAAAATCTTGAGTATTTTTTCATTATATGAAATGTAGGCGAAGAAAATTATTTAAATACGTGGTAGCAATTCTAAGGGCAATTTGATGATAAATTTTGACATTTAGTGTGAAAGAATAGGCATATACATTTATGTATAAGATTGAGCGCGTACTTTCCAAATGTACTTTTCTTGCTTTGAAAAATATACAAACTAACAATTAGTTATCTCTTCTTGCATTGATGTTGCACTTTAGATGTTCTTTAAAATATGAGCGCGAGACATTTACGTATACATGGAACCTGTAATTTATACATATGTGTACATGGAGTGTATTTTTCTCGTATTTAGTCCAAAAGTCTAGGCTTTACTTTGCAAAATTGTAGAAAAATATGTTAAAAATACACATACGGATGGAAAGTCCGATTAATTTTTTATCTGTCTTTTAATTATATAAAATTGTCTGTTTGACAAATAGATGTATATTTGTAAATTTGCATTGAGGTAGATTTTATTATTGAATTGCCATTAAAATGCGAGTTTCAATTGTAGTGTAACACTTGAACGTACATATTTCATATAATTGAAATTTATTTCAATGAACAAAAATCGTGACTTTTTTAAAATGAATGTTTCATCCAACTTTTGAAATGAATTTTATATCAAGCTTGTATTCTACGTATTTCTGACTGATGCGTTAGTTTTACATTGTTGACTTGTTCATTGTGTTATTCATCCCGACGAAAGTGCGCATATTTTTAATCATATCGTAGGTTTATAATCGTAAGCTGTAAAAGCCGCTTCCTCAAGAAGCGATAACAAGTGCTGAGTATGACGCAGTTATAGAAATCTATTCGGAAAAAAGTGCAAGATATTTTTAACGCGAGCACGGAATATCGTAGTATCGAATGAAGTATCGTCCGAGAATGAATCGCGGTGGCACTTATCGCCGTTTACAAATAAAAAAGAAGCGAGTATAATATGCGCTCGTCGCCTACTCGACTCAGTGTCAGTCGCGATGACGGATGCGCATGGAGCATTGGAGCGTCCTCGTGAGTGTCACGTAAGTGAACAGAGATTCATGGATCATTCAGGGAAACTGTTGGAATTGTAAATTAAATGTCCAATTAATTCACTTCAATCATTTCATAGGAAGCGTGAACATCGCCGGCGACAATGCGCGTGCATGTATAGCGGCGTACATTATTATTTGCAGTGTATTCACATTCAGCTATTGTCATCATGTCGTTCATGATATCATCTGTCGCGGGGATATGCGCGCGAGGAGTAAACAGACAGGTAATGATACCATTGTATTTTGAGAAGACAAATTGAATGTAGAATTAGATTATTTGTACGTGAAATCTGCACACGGATGTTCTTCACATGTTGCACTTTGTTTCCCGCAGCTGTTGGCGCACAAAGCTCCGGTTGCTAAACAACTAGTGCGAAATCTGGAGGTGCACGAGCACATCGCGTACGGCTTGTTGAAAGAAGCTGGCATTCCCACCCCACCTTTCTGGGTGGCGAGGACGTCCGACGAAGCCGCCAGTCTGGCTAAGGGTCTGCAGACAAAGGACCTCGTGCTGAAAGCGCAAGTTCTAGCCGGGGGCAGAGCGAAGGGGCAGTTCAAGGGTAGCAATGTCAGCGGTGTCGTCATGTGCGACACGTGAGTATACGACGGGAGTCATGATTTGCAGTGAAAAGAAGCGAGAGATAACGAGATCACCTTCCGTTGCAGCGCCGAGCAGGTGAAGGAACTGGCGGATAGCATGATCGGCAAGGTGCTCGTGACTAAACAGACAGGCGCGGCCGGGAAGATATGCAATTCGGTGATGGTAACGACCCGTATGTTTCCGCGTAGAGAGTATTACATGGCGGTGATGTTGGAACGCACCTTCGACGTAAGTACGTCTACAAGCTACCTCTACGCCTCTTGTGCGGCAGCGCGGTCTAACATCCCTGTCGTTTCCGTTTTGCAAGGGGCCCGTGATGATCGTTTCCAAGCAAGGCGGGGTGAACATCGAGGACGTCGCCGCGGCGAATCCCGAGGCCGTGGCGTACGTGCCGATCGACGCGAGCAAGGGTTTAACGCCCGCGCAGGCGAGCAGCGTCGCCGATAAACTGGGACTCACCGGGCACAGCAAGGAGATCGCGTCGCTCGTTGCCTCCAGTCTCTACGAGCTGTTCGTCGAGAAGGACGCGCTACTGCTCGAGATCAATCCGTTCGCGGAAGACGTCTGTGGCGAATGTACGCTGGCAACGAATGAGATAAGATACGGAAGACAAAAGCGCGTGGTAATATTTCAATCATAAAGCTGCGCCTTGCGTTGCCGCAGATTACGCTCTGGATTGCAAGTGTAAATTCGACGATAGCGCCGAGTTCCGGCAGAAGGAGCTGTTCGCGCTGAAGGACACGACCCAGGTGGACCCGAAGGAGGTCGAGGCGGAGAAGTACAACTTGAATTACATAGCTCTCGACGGGAACATCGGCTGCATGGTGAACGGCGCCGGCCTGGCGATGGCCACCATGGACATCATAAAGCTATACGGTGGGGCGCCGGCGAACTTCCTGGACGTCGGCGGCACCGCCACGATCGAGACTGTGACGGAAGGCTTCAGAATACTATCCTCGGACCCGAAAGTAATTGTCGGCATAAAAATCTGGCCTGAATTAAAGTGACGCGGAGGCTTGACACGTCAATTGGTATATTTCCAGGTGGAGGCTATTTTGGTGAACATTTTCGGTGGCATAATGAGGTGCGATATAATCGCCCAAGGGATCATAGACGCCACGAAACAGCTAGATCTGAAGGTGCCCATAATCGCGCGATTACAGGTGACTACTTTTAAATCACGTCAGCCTCGTATGACTTAATTTTCTCTTCTCTTTACTAATCCACCTGTTTCCTCGCAGGGCACCAATGTGGGTAAAGCTAAGCAACTGATATCAGACGCCAAGCTGAAGGTGATTTCCGTGGACGATTTCGCTCGGGCGGCCGAGACGTCTGTCAAGTTAGCATCGATGATGAATATCGCCAAGTCTTCGGATTTAGATATCACTTTTAGTGTCAGATCGTCGAAGAGGAAGGATTCTGAGAAAGTAAAAAATTGACGTCTCTCCGTGAGAGTTTATAAAATATTTTGTATTTGTACGCGTCTACAAAATACATCCTTTTTATATACATATGTGCATACAGGCAAAAGGTGGGTTCCTTATTGATTTTTCTATTACGCGCGAACGAGGGAGAGATCGTTGGCGACTCGTAATTTTTAAGAATATTACAGAGCGATAATTTAATTAGGGATACAAGAGGCGAATCCCTCTGGCTTCCTCTCTCGCGAGATGTACGGGCTTCTTTGCTTTTCGACGTTCCTCATTCTTAAGCTTAACTTTTATATCACTTGATGAGTTAATTGGCGATTAGTTAAATCGGCGCTTGAAGCAATTCTCAATGTACGATTTGTTGCTTCTAATCTAATAGCGAATTCGATTGCTTGTACTAGTGTGCACTGAGTGCACACTGAGGCCTGTTTACAGTCAATTTTTATATTTCATTAATGTCTTAAGTACATGTTCAAAGAGTATTTGGATGCTGTACAGATCACTTTACTAGCTACGATATATTTCGAGAGATATTTAAAACTATCTTTAAATATAAGAATTCACTGTAGACTTTAGTGTGCAGTCAGTGCACACTAGTGCCAGCAGCCGAATTCACTATAATCTTCCTGTATGTCAGCGGGAGATTAAGGCCCGGTTTCACCAACGTTGTTTAACAATAAAAGTCCTTGTCACCAGCAATATTTAAATAAAAGAGATAAAAATGCTATGTTGTACGTTGACCAAACTGGCAATATATTGATCTACAACGTTTCGGCTCCGTTTCGAGCCCTTTTCAAGTAAACTGAAACCCTATAGTATAAACATATAATAATATAAAATAATAAATTAAAGAGAAACCAGCACACCGAAGACAATATAAGGGGGAATGCCTTAAGCCTATCACACAATGCCAAGCAACAGGAACAGGGAATAGAATTTCTGACGCGTTGGATTGGTTGGAAGAAAATTTTCGACGAATCCAACGCGTCAAAAATTCTATTCTCTATTCCTATTGCCTGTTGCCAGGCATTGTGTGATAGGCTTTAGATAGATTCTTATTACTTAGTAGCGGGAACATGATGTATCACGTAAGATGTGGCCGCATTTCACGAGACTGTAAGTTGTTTAACTTTAAGCTTTCTAAAGTAACAGTTCGGAAAGAGACAAAGAACGAATTAAGCCAAGCTTAAAGTTAAACAACGTTGGTGAAACCGGGCCCAAGAGTTCTGTCGGCGTCAACAAAATAATACAATGCTATTTGCCCTTTGTAGCTGCGCTGTTACATTTTGCCAAGTAGGCACATTATTAGACGTTGGCCAGAAGAAGAGAGAAAACGGAGACAACCGGGTCATCCCGTAAATAAACACGATATAAACTAGAGTTGATTTATTCTTTAGCTTAAACCCCGACTGGTCGCCTAGGAACTGGAAACTCCGGATACTGGAATTGCAAATCAAAATGGGAAAAGGTGGCGAATAGCAATGAAAACTACATTTTGCATTGAAGTGTCAACCGTTTTTCGAAACGGGAATTTTTCTAAACCCCAACTCCCAAATTAATCGACGACTGTGACACGTGTCCGAACGTCAATCGGTTCAGATGAACGCGTGTCGAGAGATAAGATGTGAAGCCGTCATAGAACGGGTTAAAGAGAATTCGAGAAGAAAAATTCCTATTTCCATCAGTCATTTAGCGAGCAAGAACATTGTTGAATTTTTTCAGTGTCATCTCTAAAGTATCTTAAAGTGCATATTAGTTATGGGACGAGCCGAGGCGAGAAGTCGAGCTGCGAGGAGCACTACTTCCGGCGGATTAAATCCCCCTAGATTAAGTTGGTCGCGCGAGGACCTCTCGCCGATGGCTCGGCCCCGCGTGCGGGCTCTCCTGCGTCATGTGTTGCGCGTGGGAAACGTCAAGCGCTGGCCTGGTGGGGGCCACGAGGGGCGAAGCTCGCGCCTGCCAGTCCACGGCCGTCGCTCAGGCAAAGATGGCTACCATGTTGTCGCGGGCGGTCTCACTCGCGGAGAATCTCGGCCGACTGAGCGGCCCCAAGGTACGTCAAGCTGCCGGAATTTTCCGCGTGCACGTTAATCGGCGCGGCTCCGGCGCGTTTGGCCCGGGTGAGCCGGGTCCCCCGCGATTGATACGAATCGGCCGAGAGTAGGAGAGAGAGAGGGCGAGAGGACGGGCGTAGTGCGAGCGAGACGGAGCGAAGGTCGCCGATCGCCATGTTGGACAGCTGTAGTCTGCTAAATCGAGCGCCAGGGTCGCGAGCGGTTCGAAGCGGAGGATCCCGGCCTCGGGGATTTTCCCCCGGAAGACCGGCGTGACAGTTGCGTAACCGACCGGGACACCGCCCGCCGCGTCGCCCCCTCGACGTTGCCGCCGGCGGGCGCGGCGTCCGCCCCCGCGGCTCAATCGAATCGCGCGTCGCGGGGGGACACTTGTCAAACGGCCGTCACACCGGCGCGATGACGATCGGTTTCCCTCCCTCGGCCGCCCCGGGCCCGTCGAACGAGTCGAACGCGCGGAACGGCTGATTGAATTTCGACTTGGAGAACGCGCCGAACGAGGAGAGGATCGGCGCGATCGATCGAGCCGCGCGCTTCCTCTCCGTTTCCTCGCTGCGAAACGCGAGAGTTTATTTTCAGCGACGAAGCGCAACCTTGAAGCGGTCGAAGAGCGTGGCACCCTGCCGCGGCGACGCACGTGCTCCGCGCTTGTCAAAGTCGCCGATAAAGAGCCTTCGATTTAAAAATGTACCGATCGCGCGTCTCTCTCTCTCTCTCTCTCGTACGTCGCGTCGTAGACTCTCCGCTTGGAGTCGGAGCATATTCCACCGCGAATCATGAATTAAAATCCCGCGCGAAGCGTACAATAAGCTTCTATTTCCGCTTGGCCACCTGTGTCGCTCGACACACTCGGTCGAACGAGTTGCTAAGATTGGCGGGGTGTCAATTAATTATTGGGTCATCCCAGCATTGCGCTTGTTCCGAGATATTTTTGTAACGAAACGAAAGAAGTTTCACGTTCTAATTTTAATCCAGGATGTATTTCCCACGTCGTTGTTGTGTACGATTTCTTCCCGTCTCGATTAAAAATTTTACATTTCCCGACGATGAAAGGCACCCCGGTTTTGAGCTGAGGACTGAACATTCAAGTTCCCTTTCATACCGCATTATTTATAGGATGACCCGGACGTCTTCAGCCTTGGCATCAAGACCGTTTTAAGACCGAGTATTGATCGCCACGCGCTTCGAAAGCACAATTTTTTAATCTCGCAGAAATTATTATTAACCACACCCTAGTGGCGCAGTGCATTGGCTAAACATTGGCCCAACGTCTGTTATATTAGAAATGCACTGGCCTCCAATAGCCCAGACAGCCAAGCCTGTAGAGAACGGATTTTAAGAAACTCGGTTTCCAAATTTTGTCGACAGAAAGACTACAGGTTCGATACAGGCTCCAATATATCACACGATGTCGGCGAAGCATCAACAGAAATATAACAAAGCTTGATAACATGTTTGGCGGCAGAAACAAACGCGGTAAAAAATATAAATTAAATGGCAGGACACAGGCTGAGTGCGGACGCAGATGATGTCGATCTGCTGAAATCTGTTGCCAGTCTACCCACAATCCGTTATCATTTTGCTTACGGGGAATGTTCGACAAGAGGGAAATGCGCGAAAACAAGAGTATCGCTTTTCCGAGTCTCGGAAAAATGTCATTTCGCGTGGAAACGGTGTAGCCGGCAGCTTTGAAATTTTAAACGCGATGAACGCGAACGGCATTAATTCGGAGGCCCGGAACGTCGTTTAATCTTACACTTAGTTTAATTCATGTTTATCTCTTTCTAGAACAACAGTCGGAAAGAGAACGAATTGAGCTAAGCTGAAAGTGAAGCGACGTTGGTGAACCCAGGCGTTAATTTGTCTGTTTAAAGCTTACGGTGAAAATTATTTGAGGAATCGGCACTGAATTGGTAACGGAGTGCGAATTGTGTAACTGTTGTACAGCTCCAAAACGTGCGTAAGAGCCGCGCGCGGGACAAGCGCGGCATAACGCACGCACAGCTCATTGCCACTCGGCCTTCGAGCTTAGACTTATATTTAACCGTTACATGATTTATTGTGACAGGCTAATTTGCATATGTTTTAACCTACTCGCGTTATCGCGCACTTCTTGACATCAGTACGCCGCGTTAATAACTTTTATCTTTCCTTACTCCGGATCAATGTGCACAGTGTAAACTTTGGCATACACTTTTATCAATGTAATGACGCTGGTGCCCGATTGTGATCCAAGCGCGAGCGCGAAAGTTATCGCCCGTCAGACCAGTCGCGTCACGCCGCCGTCCCTTTTCCTTTCAGATATTCGCGTGCAAGACCAGCCTGGTGAAGCAGCCGGCCAGGAACCTGAACGTACACGAGCACATCAGCTACAGCTTGCTGAATGAGGCCGGCGTGCCGACACCTAAATTCGGCGTCGCCAAGACCCCCGACGAGGCGGCCAAGCTCGCCACCGACCTGAAGACGAAGGACATCGTCCTGAAGGCCCAGGTCCTCGCCGGCGGCAGGGGGAAGGGCCACTTCAAGGGGACGAGCGTCAGCGGGGTGAAGATGTGCGAAACGTAATTATCGGCCCTTTCGATAAGATTGCATACCAAGTCGGGACCGGGTCGAGTGAGATTATCGCTCATCGCCGTTGCTTGCAGCCCGCAGGAGGCCAAGTCGTTGGCTGGTCAGATGCTCGGCAAGCTGCTCATCACGAAACAGACCGGCGAGGGCGGCAGGATATGCAACGCCGTGATGGTCACGCAGCGCATGTTCCCCCGTAAAGAGTACTACCTTGCCGTCATGATGGAAAGAGCCTTTGGTGTAAGTTGACGGCGGCCGGCGTTTCGGACGATTCGAAAGAGAGATTTCTAACGGACGCTTCTCCTTGCAGGGTCCCGTCATAATAGCCTCCAGCCAAGGTGGGGTGAACATCGAGGAAGTCGCTGCCACAAATCCCAGCGCCATCATGTACGAACCTATCGACATCAATAAGGGAATTACGAAGGAGCAGGCGGAGCGCATAGTGACGAAGCTCGGCCTGGACAACGTAAAGGACTACATTTGCAATATAATTATAAATCTTTACCAAATGTTTCTTAAGAAGGACGCTCTTCTCCTGGAAGTGAATCCTCTCGCCGAGGACATCAATGGAAATTGTAAGTTTGCCTTCTACTCTCTTCGTGATATTTTGTAAACGCTCCACTTGTGCAAACTATTCACATGATTTTTTTCTTTTAGATTTCGCTCTCGATTGCAAATGCCGGTTTGACGACAACGCCGAGTTCCGGCAAAAGGAGCTGTTTGGTCTGAGAGATTGGTCTCAGGAGGATTCGAAGGAAGTCGAAGCGGCGAAATTCGACTTGAATTACATCGCGCTCGACGGCAACATAGGCTGCATGGTAAACGGAGCTGGTTTAGCCATGGCTACGATGGACATCATAAAGTTGCACGGCGGTGAACCGGCTAATTTCCTCGACGTTGGCGGCGGTGCTTCGGCCGCGGCGGTGAAAGAGGCATTTAAGATTATCACTTCTGATCCACGAGTGAGTGCGCCAAGTCACGATTGGTCCCTGTGCGATGTAACTGGATTTTACACACGTATTTCTTTTTTCCTATCAGGTCCACGCTCTTTTAGTTAATATCTTTGGCGGCATCATGAGATGCGACGTTATAGCGGAGGGTATTATCGCCGCGACTAAGGAGTTAAGTTTAAAAATTCCCGTCGTCGTCAGATTGCAGGTACAGTGGCCGAGGCGCCTTGTTTCGCAAATAATTACGGTTGTGGAATTGCGCGCGGATATGTATTTTGTTTTTGCTTTCCAGGGTACTAATGTGGACGAAGCCAAGGCTCTGATCGCGAATGCAGGTTTGAAAATTGTACCAATCGATGATCTCGACGAGGCCGCCCGGGTCGCGGTAAAATTGTCGACCATCGTTAAATTAGCTCAATCCGAAAATCTCAGCGTGAACTTCGAGATACCTGCAATATCATAGATAGCGAAAAAGGAAAACTATAATCGGTAATATATTATTAAGAATATTTCTGCCGAAGAATGTGTACTCAATCGTTAAAGGATTTCAAGAACGTCTGAAAGTAATAATTACAGTAATAACTTCGCATGTGTAACGTATTCTCGTGAAGGAGTAACATTTCACGCTGGTTGTTTGACTCTTTCTGTAACCTCACGGACGGAGAAAGAGGCAGCGAGTAAAAAGTAGAATAAAGCTTTGGACAAGTCTGTTTTGCAAAAGTAATACGACTGGGTGAAGTGGATTAAATATCGGACGAGCTATTAATATATTGTTATATATTTATCGTAATATTTTTCTTCTTAATACAGTCGCGAACATTTGTAATGCACAGAACTGTGTAAGATTATTCACATACTTTATCGCTTGCTCTAACGCAGGACTTTGTGACAGAGATCCAGTATTAACAGAAAGAGAAAAAGAAAGAGAGAGAGATTAAGTTATATAATATCTATCTCCAAGCGAGTGCTGCGCACGGACATGTGCTCTAGAGAATGTCCAAAGCCAGCGACCGGATGCTATTAAAGACATTGAAATGTAGACATTATCAGTCATTTCAGACATCGTTATAAATAGCAATTTGTAACGCGGTATTAACTTGATGATTTATTATTGTACCGATGCTTCGTAAGTAAGCGTGCAACTTTGTGATGCGGTATCACATAGAATAATAGTTATGTTTCTACAAAACTATAATTTTGTTTCCACAACACGACATGCAAGGATATAATTTTACAGCTTTAAATAAAGATAAAGCGTCACCATGTATACATCTACGAAAACGTAGCTGCTCAGCTGTTTAGATTTCTGGGCCTTTAATAGCATCTTGTCGGTGTCAGTGGTAACGAAGTGCACGTCCGTTTTTAAAGACGGAACTTTTCGCAACAGCCATCGACGCGGAAAGCCACGGAGCGTCGTAAGTGAACGGCCTGTTCCATGTAACAAATGCGTAATATATGTATACATAAATTATTTTGCATAATTTAGTTTTGTCTTCGTTCATTCGATTAAATCGTCCGTACGTCGGTTGTTCCCGAACTTGGTGCTAATATCGACGAAGTTTTATATCGACTATGCGAATGATCGTCGAACAAATATATATTGTACGTCCGCATATTCGTTCTGTCTGTTACTCGTCAAGTTGTAACTGCGCCGTGACGATATCGTTAATACTGCCGTGTAAGGATGTAAAAGTTTTAGTCACTTTGGGAATTTCTGTAAATATAAAGCGCCCCCCTGGTTTCCGATTGCGCGAGAGGGAAGAATGAGACTTGTGAGATTCTCAAAATTCTGTATTCGCCAAATAGACAAATTAAATGAATTGGAAATCTCGCATGTAATCCCTGTGAGCAATGAGATCGTAGAATAGAATTAACATGGACTAAACGCAGTTTAATATCTCATATTCTTGTTCGGCGATTGAATTCAGGATCGTTCGACGCAAAATTTGATTCGTTCCCAGCAAGAAATGACTCGTCGACGTCGACGTCGTTTCGACGAATCATTTCTCACTGGATTGTTTCTAGTCTTTTTCTTGTATGTAGATGAAAATAATTGAGTCTATCCTGTTAGCAAAATAACACAGGTGTTATACTCGGTACATTAATCACTGAATATAAATGGAATTTATCAACTTCGATTTGTGTCGAGTGATCTGAATTAGATTCAAGTTGGAATGACAATTGAAAAATACTTGTACGTACACGTGAATTAAAAAATATTCATAGATTTTAATGTCCATTTCTACCAATATAAATATATTAATTTCAATCTCGGTTTAATTTACTTTTTATCTTTTTCTAGTTCTAAGGAATGGAAAAGAGTAAAAAGTAAGTTGAGTTGAGATTAAAATTAATTTGCATTGATGGAAATCCAGATAGCACAAGACACTCCTATGAACATTTTAAGAATATTCTTCAAGGATATTTGGAATATTCCACAGGTCATTCTTATATAGTACATTTATCTCATGTTCGTCGAACATTCGACTGGCACTACTATCAATCTTTTTCGAATGAATGGAATAATCTATCGAATATAGCGTGTCGGTTATATATGGTATCACTGGTTTCACTGCCTTTTGCACAAGATAAGTGTATCACACAATGAACAGTGTGCAATACATAAACTCGATGAATATTCAAAAATTATTTTGAACGAATGTTCCAAAGACATTCTCGACGATTATTCTAAAAACGTTCTTCTTCGTTATGAATATACGATTTCTAATTGTAATAATCTACATATATTTATAGAATATTCGACTGGAATATTCTGAAATTAAGAATATTTGCACTCCAGAAGAATATTCATAGAACTATGATGCTATCTGGTACTATCTGGCACTGGACATTAATGATTTATATAATATTGCAATGGATTCGATGTAAAACTTCGTCGACAAGTCGCGTTATAAGTAGGGGCGAGTGCCGGCATTATTCTATCATGACAATTTAAATTTGCGCGCGCGCACGTTCGCGACAGGCTCTCCCGTAGTAGCTTTGGGAACGCGCGCGTTCGCCGTCACCACAGATTAGTCCGGACTCGCACCAAAAGGTAAATTTTGTCGATAAAATGGGATATATTTAGTCCAGACTCACACCTCTGGGCAAAGCCGTCGGTAAGGGGCAAAGTATGCGGTGGTCTCGATCTCATCCGGGCCTTCGGCGATCTGTCTATTAATCTGTGCTGAAAGCGAGTAGCTTTGTCCCTTTCTGGTTAAAAAACCGCTCACTTTTAACATTTATACTATACCGTAGGATACAGCTAGAATATTGACCCCCTGGGCGAGATTGCGGCAAACAAACGCGAGACGGGTGCGTCGGCGAATTAACCGCAGCGCGTTGGAGACAGTTGGCCACCGTGCGAGGTACTTCCTTTCTTTTCTGTCCCTTCTTGACAAATCACGTCGCCGAACGTAACGACACCGCCAAGTTGAATTTAACTTTGCAGAGCCGACAGCCGATTGGCCGGCGGGGGCCCAGGAGAAAGTCACTATACGGACGCCGCGCAATAAGCGGAAGGAACATTTGTTCGCGGCGAGGGAGCCCGCCTTCCCGCTGCCCGCACTGCATCCGCGCGGCTACATTGGTGCGCTGCGCGCCGTAAACGTCGGTAGCGATGCGAGGAGCGTTGCACGGCCACTGGTATGTGTTGCCTCCCGACGCGAGCGACCGCGAAGCCCGAATGTACGACGAGTGCTGTGCGCGGATCTGCGAGTGATTCGGCGTCGCTTCCCCGGTGCCGGGGCCTCCACGCAGGTACGCGGCCACCCCTCGCGGCGACGCTACGCGGGCAGTTGACCGCCGCGGGGCCGCTCGGGACGCAACGACGGGCGGAAAACGCCGCGGGCCCGCGGGCGTTCCGCTCCGTCCCCTCGCCCGGGAGTGCGCGGGATCGACGTCGCGGCGGCCGCGCGTTCCCACCCAGGAGCTTGTACCGTGCGCGCGATCGACGCGGCGGCGTAACCTCCAAAGGTTGTTTGTTGCCCGGGGACCGATGCTCCCTTCTGACATAAAACAACGTGCTGGACCGACGTCACGCAGATGGCTCGCTCTACCTCGCGCGCGACGTGTCTCGAGCCGCCCGCTGGTCAACTACCGCGTGTACGCGCCTCGCCCGTCCGCCACGGGCGGACCCGCGGACTGTGAATTGCCCGGGGCCTGCGGATCGCTCCCTCGACCCGGACCCCCCGGCCCCCCCCCCCCGCGTGTGCGGCCAACGTGCGTAATTAATTCGCCCGCCTGCTTTGTTTCCTCGACAGCGCAGCTATGAACACTACGATGAGCACCGTGAGCGGCAGCGGTGGCGGCGGCGGCGGCAGCGGCGGCGGCAGCGGCGGCGGCGACAAGCGTCTACCGGAGACGACCGTGCAGACCGTGGCGCAGAACTTGACTACGATGCAACAGAGTGTACAGAGTGTGCAGAGTGTGCCGAGTGTGCAGAGCGTGCAGAGCGTGGTTCAGAGTAGTATACAGAGCATTCAGCCGACCCAGACTATTGTCGGAGCGCCCATAGGGGCGCCCAGCTGCCTGGTGGGCAAGTCGGTGTCGCTGGACATGAATCCCAAGCTATCCTTGATGAAGCCGGTGATACCCTCCGGCACCGCATCGTCCGCGGAAACCAGTAAAATAACAACAACGGTAATTCCAGCATCGCGCTGAAATCATGACCTTACAGTATTAACGTGTCATTGCTTACAGGAGTGCTAACTAGCGCTACGCTACCGTTAGTTTACTTTTGCGCACCTTGTATCAGTAAAATTCAAACTCTCGACATTCGGCACTAAATGTGCCGGGTGAAAGTATCTTGCGCGACATGGGGGTGTCTTTAATATGTAATAAATGTGGGGAAGTTACTTGTCAAACGCTTTAATGATCGCACATACGTTCTCTGATAGATTTATTAATGCCAAATCCACCGCTTCTAGTTATGTTCTTTAGGATCTACAGTAAAAATAATATCACCAGGAATGTTAAGTACCGTGGAAAGGCAAAACCCGCCGCAAACGTCGCCGCATCCAGTCAGTATGCCAGCTACGTACCACGTACCGCGAGGACCCGCCGCGGTTGCCAATATCTCCGCGCCCAGGTCGACAGTCGCCACTCCTATCGTCAGGACGAATACAGGACAGATTGTGCCTACTACCAGACCAGGGTACATATATATATATATATATATAAATGTATGACGACATGCTTGAAGCAACGGTCGAAAAGATAAAATCGAGAGAAATTGAAATAGTTAATTGGAAATACGCGCGCAGGATTGTTTTGATGGAACAGTCTCGTTCTGTTGTAGCAATACGCCAATCTCCAATCCCCAGTGGCAACCTAAAACGTCCGTCGCGTTATACGCGCAACCGCAGAGACACCCCACGCCTCCCGTCAGCAGAGTCTCGAGGCCGTCGTCCACCGTGTACACGACGGGGCAACAGCCGCGACTAATTACGCCGACGAGTCAAGGAAGATCTGTTCAAGCTACCATGGTCACTGGTAGTCCGTCCAGGTTAATAACGCCCGTGTTACAAACTAATCTTACCAGACATCCAGTCGCACAAAACAGACCGCCGACGCCGCAAGTCACAGTTGTGTCACAGACCTCGCAACCAACCAGATCGTCGGCACAAACCATTCAAGTAAATCCCATATGTCTTTATATATATTTATATGCGATACATATATGTGTAATGTATTGTACAAACTTTTTGTTTACTCTTTTATGCACTTTCGAAAACTTACAGTTGTCAAACACAGTTTTGAGTCATGGTACACGAATATCGACACAATGCGTTCGACCCGGAGGTGAAGGCATACGTGACGGTTGAGTGTACTAACTTTTCTGGATTGCACATAAATGTAAAGAGGGGAAGTGTGCAGTTTTGTTAATTTACAAACTTTATTCGAATGTTCAGCCCGCCCAGTCTAGCAGACCTCTGACGACGGCGGGTACGACGAAACGTATCGCCGTGTCGACGCCCATCGTGGAGACGGCCAACAGAATAAGCAGTACAGCCTCGGTTACTATCGGTTCGGTGGAACCAACTGTAGCACGGCAATTGTCAATTAGTGGTAATACGGTGGCCGGACCATCGACCGTTAGCCACATCGTTATTCCCTCGCAACAGGTAGACATCTTTACTTCGCAACGCGCTAAAAGTTCTTTCAAGATGACGAATGAAATCATTTGTCAACAGGTTCAACCGCAGCAAGGTGCGCCGCGTGTCGTTCAAACCGTCACCTCTCTGTCGAGCCTCAGTACCGTGTCGCAAGTGATCACAACAACCACGAATACGCAGTCGAATGCAATGCGGATACTGCAAACGGTTCCAACCACGGTTGCGAAACTCACAGGAATGTCCTTGCACTCTTTGCCGATCGCTCTACCGGTCAGGGCTGCATCGGCGCCGATCAAGGCCGCTCCTGCGCAGCCCCAAAATATTGGGCAAACCGTTCAGGTCAAACCGGCGCCGCAAGCTAACTTACGTATGTCGTCCAACAACAGCAGTACAGCCACGAGCTCTGCTCAGCCGGTTCAAGGACAGTACATACATACACCACATACTACTACTACGTATCTTTCTTTCGAGACTACAGGTAAATTTTAAGAAAGTAAAGATAAGTTGTCGTCTTGTACATTTTTGTCCCTTGCGATAAAATGATTGTTTGTCTCCTGTGATAAGAAAAGAACTGTATGTTGCTTTTCAGGAACATATTCACCATTTCGACAGGCTTCGGTGCAGCCAGTAAGATTAGTTGTTGAGCCAGGATATGAAGAACCCCACAGTAAACCGAACGCGTCTCCCAGACCAAGCATCTTGAGAAAGAGAGATCATGACAATTCACCAGTTAAAGGTATAATTATGTTAAAATTAGTGAGTGCAGTTGAAGCAACAACACGTATAAAGATAATCTCGCAGATAATACGTAAAATAAGGAATGGGTTAAATTTAAAGCTATAATTGTTTCAAATATCTCTTGTTAATTTGCAAGGGTACAAAATTTAGAAAACTCAATTTTGCAGCGCGTCGAAACATTCTTGTGGAAATGTTGACCTTATATACAAGCAGCAGAATATTTACATGACAGCTGTGATTATTTACATATGAAAAAATTCTCTTTGATATGCCGGGACAGTTTTGAAACGAACAGAACACTAAGATGTTCATTTTATATTAAGATATATTAAAGATGAATTTTCTGTAGTATAAAATACTAAAGGGTTAGATCGACCAAGGCTGGCAGTTTTATTTTAAATTTTACCACGACGTTTCGGCCAGTAATACTGGTCCTTTTCAAGTGGATCCTATTGCTTGTGACAACGAAGCATCTACAAATTAATTACTTAGTCAAAATATAAAACGGTAATAACTTGTAAAACTATAAATTATAAAATATAAAGCGGTAATAAATTATAAAAAGAACTACGAATAAATTTCTCAGTCATAATATAAAATAATAAATTATAAAGGAAGAACTTACAGGAAAATATAAAATTAGGCTAATCGTCATCGCACATAGAAATATACGCCTTCGCACGTGTCACCTAGAGACTAAATAGTTGGAACAGAACAAAGGGACATTGCTAAGATCCTCCCGTCATGACATATAGAAGGGGGCCGGAGAAACAAATAAATAAAAATAAATATGAAGTTATAACTAACTAGGTGAGTCGAACGATTTTATCATATATCGTGTTCAGATTTTCAGTGTATTTGTTTCTCCGGTCCCCTTCTATATG